GGATACTGACATCACTGTATTAAAAATGAAACAGGACTTGGACTGAGACCCCACCCCATCTGGTAGACCTGAAAAGATTCCTTCTCTGCCAACTCTGCCGATGCGCCATCCATTGCCCTCAAAGTGGAGGACCCAGTCTATAAGATAAGACAATCTGGCAAGTCTGCACTGGAATACCACCTCTCCCAGGCTTGTGTCTATCGAACAGTCCCTAATCAACTTCAAGAATGGTACCAGGCAGCAGTAAGACTGGACATCCAGCCTGCCTGCTATAAGAAGCCACCACCACAAGAAGCCGGGCCAGATCAACCCAAACAGCACCACCCCCTGAAAGCCTCCAATCGCTGTGGCCACTGAAAACCCCAAGCCACCTGCAGGCCTATCGATCAAATGCTTCAGATGTCGACAAAGGGACATCAAGCAGCGAGTTGCCCAGTCCCTTACCCTCAACAGCAGAATAAACCGGGACCACCAGCAAGGAAGAAAAAAGACCAGCAGCCGGCAAAAGAGAAATCCAACTGGATCGGAAAGGAATCCGTTGCCCACGCAGGAGAGTGGCCCAAATCAGACCTGCCACTGCTCTGTCCTCCTATGACACTGATGACGAAGGAGAGAATGACCCTATAGTGAGTCGATCCATTCCACATTTTTCTTTGCTTGCCAAGCTCATAATCCCTAAAACGGGGGCACAGGTAGATCTGAAAGTACTAGTGGACTCAGGATGGTCCCGGTGCATTATTAGCTTGCCAGTTGCCCTGAAAATGGGCATACAAGCAAGGCTGCTCTTCAAACCCATGAGGTTTGAGCAAGCTGATGGCTCCATAGTGGGAGGAACCTTTGTCATGCAATTAACTGAACCCATATGCTTAGAAATAGGTGAGCACTGGGTGTTCATTTGTTTCATGGTGGCTCTGAAAATGACCGAGGCTGTGATCCTAGGACTAGCCATTTATCTGGTGGGAGAAGGGAATGAGAACTGTAAAATTACCTATAGGAGACAAGCCTCCCCTTAACTCAGCTGATGTTACCAGAGAACCTAGCCCTTCTAACAAGCTAGCAAAAATAGCTGCTCTGCTTCAACCAGGTGAGCCACTCATCCCCAGCGAGTACCGGGACCTAACGGAGGAGTTTAGTAAAAAATTGGAACACCCTGCCTCCCCACCAGCCTAATGATTACTCTATCGAACAGTTACTGGGAGCCAAACTCCCACAATCAAGGATGTACGCCATGTCCCCCCTTGAAATGGAGGAAATGCAGCAGTATGTGGACAAGAACCTAGCAAGAAGTTTTATTGAATGGGCTAAATCTCAGGTAGGAGCTCCACTGTTACTTAAAGAAAAAAAGATGGGTCACTTCATCTCCACATGGACTATAAAGAATTAAATGCTATGAACATGGAAAACAAATACCCCCTCCCTCTTCTGAAGGACTTACTAACCCACCTGGCAAAGGGGAGTGTCTTCACTAAGTTGGACCTAAGAGAGGCATATTACCGAGTGAGGATAAAGGAGGGAGATGAGTGTAAGAGTTCTTTTAACTGTCCCATGGGGAGCTACCAATTTAAAGTCATGCTGTTTGGAGTACAGGGGGCTCCAGCTGTCTTCATGCAGCTGATCAGTCAGGTACTACATGATCATTTATACAAAGGGGTTTTGGTGTATCTTGTTGATATCCTGATATACAGCACGAATATGGCTGATCATATAAAACTAGTGAGTGAAGTATTAAGAAAACTGTTGAATGCCAAACTTTATGTTAAACTATCTAAGTGTGAGTTTCACTAGACCCAACTAGATTATCTTGGCTACAGAATTTCCAGTGAGGGCATTGAAATGGATCTGACCAAAGTGAAAGCCGTAATTGAATGGCAGCCCCCAAAGGCTCGCAAACAGCTCCAGAGCTTTCTGGGATTCGCCAACTTTTACTGCCAGTTCATCCCCTCCTTTGCTGAAATTGCTTTACCCCTTATGGACTTACTGCAAATAGGTAAAGAGGGAGGAAAGCTGCAACCAGGCCAGCCACCAGCATGGACTATAAACTGTCAAACTGCTTTTGAGAATTTAAAAAGACTATTTGTGGTTGAACTGGTCTTAAAGCATCCTTGTCCAGGGAAGCCCTTTGTGGTTCAAGCTGATGCCAGCGATGTGGCCATCGGAGCTGTGCTATTGCAAAAGAACCAGAATGGGATCCTACAACCCTGTGCCTACACCTCAAAAAAAATGCTGAGTGCGAGAGGGGGTGGGCTGTGTGGGAGAAAGAAGCCTTTGTTTTTCATTGGGCTCTATTAAACTGGCAACACTATCTAGAAGGGAGCAAGGTGCCTTTCGAGGTATGGACTGATCAAAAAAAACCTAGAAGCACTGAAAACTCCCCACAAATTGTCTCTGAAACAAGTATGATGGGCGCAATATTTCAACCATTTTAGCTTCACCCTAAAGTACATACTGGGAGAAAAAAACGTTTTAGCTGATGCTTTATCCAGACTGCCCCAATACAAGAGCCAGCGTGAAAAGGTTAATGAAGCAATTATTTCCACTCCACAAACTGTTTCTCAACTCAAGCTGCACAGAGTCCTCCCTTCGAGAGCCCCAACCCCAATGACCCTGGGGCAAAGAAAATAAAACAAGAGCTCCTCACTGACCAACGGTTCAAGGACAATCAAACCTCCCTAACTTGCAGGGATGGTTTGGCTTACAAAGGGGGAAAATTGTACTTGCCCAAAACCCTCCACCTCAATGTGCTCCAGTATGGCCATGATGTAAAACAGGCTGGACACTTTGGATATTTAAAAACACTACACCTCATCTGCCGGCAATTTTGGTGGCCAGGTTTGAAATTGGACATAGAGAACTATGTCCAGAGTTGTGCTGTATGTGCCACCATGAAAAGAATTCCAGGGAAACCCCCTGGGCTATTACAACTAGTGGCTGACCCTTCCCAACCATGGGAAGAAATTGCCATGGATTTTTTAGTAGACCTACCTGAAAGTAGGGGAAATATAGTCATCCGGACTATGATAGGTCTGTTTTCAAAGCAGGCCCACTTCATTGCCTGCAAAGGGCTCCCATCCGCCCAACGACTAACCAAGATGTTTTTGAAACATATCTACAAACTGCATGGTACACCAAAACGAGTACTCTCATGCTAGGGGGTGCAGTTTACAGCCAAGTTTTTCTTAAGCTATCTCAAGGACTATTGTTGGCTTTTCACCCATCTACTAATGGGGCGGCTGAATCTGTGAATTCAGTGATGGAGCAGTATCTCCAATGCTATGTGGATTATCAACAGACAAACTGGACTGACTTCTTCCCTTTTGCAGAGGCGGCTTACAATAACTCTGTTCATAGCAGCACTGGTTTCACACCTTTTAAATTGGCCAGAGGAAAAGAGTTCAGCCCAATACGTGAATATCCTCAGGGACCCTCCGCTTCCCAAACTTTTCATCAGTGGGTGAGAGGGTGAGACGGAGTCTGGAAAACCACGAAAACTGTTTGAAAAAGGCTTCTGATACATATAAAAAGCAGGCAGATAAAAAAGGGCTCCTCAAAGGACATTCCAAGTTGGGGAAAAGGTTTATTTCTCCACAAAATATTTATGCCTTAGGTTATGTAGTAAGAGGTTAAAATCGAAGTACATAGGACCTTTCCCATTGTAAGGATCATTTACCCAGTCATGGTAGAATTAAAGCTTCCCAGACCCTTGGGGAAAGTCCACCCTGTGTTCCATTGTAGCCTGCTGAAACCTTTTCGGGATTCCACTTAAGACCTCCCCCTAAGAAGGCACCTGGACCTTTCATAGTAGCAGGATAGACTCACTATGAAGTGAGGCATATTCTTGATTCTAGATTTTTTTTAAGGGAAATTGCAGTACTTAGTGCAATGGAAGGGGTATCCATTGTCTGAAGCTACCTGAGTGAAATCTAGCAATGTAAAAGCTGACAGACTCATTAATAGGTTCTATAAGAAATATAAATTGAATAAATAAATAACACAACAATTGTACAAGCCTAGGGGGGGAAATGATTCAAACTTATGTTTTTCTTTAGCTACAACCCCTTGTTCATGAAATGACCAGTTTCACAGTTACAGAGGTGTTACAAGGAGTAAAAGCTTAGAAGGAAAAAAAATCCTTTTTCCCTCTGTTGGAGGAATGTCTTCCTTTTGGTTCATCTCTTGTTCAGGTTAATTGTTCTCAATGTTAGAAAGTTTATCCTTAGTTCCAGGTTGCTTCTCTCCTTGCTTAGTTTCCATCCATTGTTCTTTGTCCTGCCTACAGGTGCTTTGTTAAATAAACTGACCCCCCCTCCTCTTTATGGCAACCTCTCAAATACTGGAATACTGCTATCATGTCACCACTAGTCCTTCTTTTCTGTCAATTATTCTTCTGAAAGAGTGACATCCAGAACTGCATCCAACTGTCCAGGTGTGATCCCATCAGTGCAGATCACAGGAGAAGAAGGACTTCATGTGTACTGATCTGTAGATATGGTTGTACTATAAGGCTGCAGTCCTACACACTTTTATCTGAATGTTAGCCCTGTTGATCTCAATGTTATTTCCTTTTAATAAGCACATACAGGCCCATTATACACAAGGTATCTGTAGTTTGCTAGGGCATCTGTAGATTTTTGTCAAAATGAGGGAAGCATCATTGTAATATGCATCACAAGTTGGACCTCTTTCATATGTGTGGCTAATGATATTGCACATATACAAATATGAGATTTTTGACACAACGGTGTAACACTGTTTGCACATTTGCCTCTTTTGTGGAAAGCCTTCACTATAAAGTTTCTTTGTGCTAGTGATCATACAGAAGAGAACATTTGGTATGGATTAGAACCAAGAGCTTATTTCTTTTGAACCTGGGGGTGAATTTCTGTATTAAAGCAAAATAAAATTTATAAGGAATTCTGTTATCAGGAACAATAGAAGCTTTTTAGTCATTGTCTTTCATAACTGCTCAACAAATTTTTTGCATAGAATAAGAGAGTAAATTCTTATAGGTAAGTATACTTCTTTATTCTGGAAAAGTTCTTCCACTTAAAAATAAGTATGTAATATCAAATATGTAAATATCCGTAAGAGGTGAAAGGAACGAATGGTGTCTTGAAAGCAGCTTTTTTTCAGACTGTTGGATTTCAGCTCCTATAATTTTTGATTCATCACATAACCAAACCAATAGCTATGTTGGGATTATCAGAAATGGCATCTGGCACATCTGGAGACCGAGGAAGTCACCACCAATTCTTCTGGAACAACCTAAGTATCTTTATCCTCATGCAGAGAATCAGAACCTGAGAGATTTGTAGACACTGATGGCCTCGTTAGTTTTTGCAGTACAGCTCATATTTCAGCATCATTCCAAGCTTAGTTTTTGCTACACTCTCCTCAAATTTTCTGTCCATTCTTTCACTCTGGCTTTCTGAGAAGACAGATGTCCAATCACCTACTATGCCTAGAAAAAGAAAAAAAAGAAAGAAATAAAAGAAGAATTATAGTGGTAGGTGGAGGGTGGGAAGCTAAGGGGAGAGAAAGTCTTTCTCCCAAAGCATAGCTATTCTTCAAACCTCTGTGGAGATTCTCAGTCATCCAGGTCATAGTTGTCTCAAAGGGGCTTTTTCAAAAGGCAATTGGACTTTTTTTTTCCCTTGAGGAAGAAAAAGAAATTTTACTTCTCATCCAAGAAGTTTCATTGGTTCTGGAAGGATGGTAGGGGTGATGGAAGGAATTAGTCTCTTCTTCTTCCTCAATAGGAAAAACAAAAGTCCAATTGCCTTTTGAAAAGCACCTTTGAGACATTCTTCAAAACACATTAAAACAATAAATATTTTTATAGCACAATAAAGACACTTCTATGGGACATCCTTAGATGCCCAGTTCCTATGGTTTGTGAAATGTTAATTTTAACAGAGAGATTTTATGCCTACTTAGAGAATCTCCCATACCCAATTCTCAGATTTGGCAAAGATCTCCCTCCCTTGTGTTATCCCTCAAAAAGGTTCTCTTAGTTATTTACTTTTGGATGAGAAACATAGATTAATACATTTCAATAAGCATTTTGTACATTACTATCAGGCTTCATACGATGGCATTTGTCCCCTCAGTCAGCATTTGATTCTACTCAGCAAGAAGACTCTCAGATAGATGTTAGTGAGATTTAAATGTTTATTATAGAGAAGAATGAACCCTTAAACGAAGTAATTGATTTCCCATGGCAGTGCAAAGAAGTCATATTTTAGCTATCTGTCGTCTATCTATCTGTCATCCATCCATCCATCCATCTTATCATCTATGCTCCAGAATTAAATCTGATTTTTTCCTCCCATCCTTCTCTTTATCCATCCATCTTATCATCTAAGCTCCAGAATTAAATCTGATTTTTTCCTCCATCCTTCCAATTAAATAGTCTCTGGATTTTCTTGGGAAGCAGGTAAAATATATTTATATAATAGTTCTCTTTAGCCAGGGAAACACTGGATGCAGTTTTACATTCTCGTACCTTATAGTTACCCATTCTAAGTAGCTTGTTATGCTTATTAATTCTTCAGACTTTTAGTGCTTTCATTCTAGTATTGTCTCCTATTTAAATATGTTTTAATTCAGTGGAAATTGCTTCTAAGTGGATAGGTTAATTCTAAGATGATTTAATTTGGATTCTTTTCCTCTAAAATTGTTACTGGTTTTATTGATGTCTTATTTTGTTATAGCCTGGTGTGAGTATTTTATGGTGAGATGGCTATAAATTGTGCAAACAAATAATATGCACATTTATAAGGGTGCAAATAACTGTTAAATACAACAAGTAACAATATTAAGACTGGCTTTCTATATGTAATAGGGAGGTTTCCTGCTTTTTCCATGACAAAATACAGATGTGGTTCCCTCCTGTAGATTTCAGTTACACTGGTCAAACTCCTCCCTTAGGTTACAGGAGTTTCAAAAACATTAACAGAAATATAATAGTTTGATGTAGTGATTAAGGCGCAAGGCTAGAAACCAGGAGACTGTCAGTTCTAGTCCCACCTTAGATGCAAAGCTTTAGGTGCAGATTCATTCTAAAATATTCACTTTATCTATTTGTACAGGTAGTCCTCTACTTGCAATCACAATGGAGTCCAAAATTTCTGTTGCTAAGTGAGACAGTTGTTAAGTGAGTTTTTCCCCATTTTCTGACCTTTCTTCCACAGTTGTTAAGTGAATCTCTGCAGTTATTAAATTAGTAACACTGTTGTTAATTGAATCTAGCTTCCCCATTTACTTTACTGGTCAGAAGGTCACAAAAGAGGATCTTGCAACACATGATATGAACCAGATGTCTAGCATCTGAATTTTGATCCTGTGATCATGAAGATAGTGGATAAGTGCAAAAATGGTCATGTTATTTTTTTTTAGTGGTGTTGTAACTTCAAACATCACTAAACAAACTGTTGTAAGGCAAGGATTGTCTATATCATATTCCCTAATATTTGAATATTTGAATATTTGAATCATGAGACTTTCCCAACCCATTGTTAGACTTCAGCCCTTATCATTCCTAGCCAGCACACCTTTAAGTATTAAGAGTTGAAATCCCACACACCATAAAGCCACTAGGTTAGAGAAGACTATTAAATGTTGTAGACAAAATTATTAAAAATATTACAATGTTACCTTTGCGGAAAAATGTTTTCCCTAGTTTTCCATAGGTTCCTGCGTTATTTTTCATGTTTTCAAAACTTGTTTTCTTTACAATGCTCTCAATCTCCTCTTCAGTTACACAAAAATTAAAGAATTTGGCTATTTTTTTCAGTGCTGAGACTGGATTCTGAATAATACATCAATATATAACATAAGTACGTATGCTTTTAATTGCTCCAATTCATGTCTTGATCAGGGTACCATACAATTTTTATATATATATTTATAGGCTGGGCTTGTGCACATTAGAATAAATAAAGAAATAAGCAAAATAAAACATTGTTTCATTGTTTCACTGAAATATTAGCAAGAGTAGATTGGGTGATCCAGAAGTTGACCTTAAAATGAAAATGTTTCTGAGATATTTACCAATTGCTTAGAGAAAAGTAACCAGGCAGAAATCTTCAGTTACATTTCCTATTTCTATATCCTGATCAGTTGTTCATTACTATATAATACTTGGCCAGACATAATTTTATTATTACATTAAATCTAAATGTTTACTCTTAAAAACGTACCTCTTTTATTTCCTCATAGGTAATAAAAAATACATTGCTGTCATCCAGATAGTTGTTCCATTCAGTAATATGATCAAAATAAGATCCATAGGGCACTGGTAGGAATTAAGCAGAACATTTTGATATTGATTTCAGTGTGAACTCTCACTGTATCCTTTATATTTCACTTTTTCTCTGATTATTAACAAATGCAGATTACCATACATAATCTAAATCATTGATCACCATTATTATTATTATTTAATTGTTGGGTTGCTCAGCTAACAGGAGCATCTATAGGGGGAATCCAAAACATATGGCCACTCAGCAAAAACCCCACAGTTTCTTTTTTTTACACGTACCACACATTTTTTAAAAGGTGCAAAGTTTGATTGTATAGTTATGGCCATCATCTTGACATTTTTGGCAGCTCCCTCTCCACTGAAACCTCTGCTTGTTAATCATGTGTGCTTATTAGATTGCCTTAATTATTCACCAAAATGGGCGTTTGCTTTGCCATTCATTCACAGTGTATAATTCCAATTTTTGTTTATGGGGTACCAGTCAAACCATATGTCATTTCAACCATAGTCAACCACACACAGAGGCATTGGCAAAATACAACCTTCTCATCAAAATGAGGAAAACAGAAATCTGTTATCATGCCACTGTGATACTTTGGTCATTTGTCCCCATGCCCTCTTTTGATACTACCTGTAGATATTTCTGGTCAGATCTGTCCCGGAATGATCATTCTCCTTCCTCATTAAAGTAAATATATTTGGTCACTTACCTCCCACTAAACTGAAAAGTTAAGTTTAAAACCGATGTAATAGTTTTCATTGTGTCATTAACAATACTAGTAGAACTGGTGGAGTCAAATGAGAGAATGCTGAAAAAATGCATCCTGATTTAACAGCCAATAACATTAAATGGCGATTAAGTGCATAAATGTGTACAAGAGAGAATTAATATCTATGGGGATTCTCAGTCATCCAGGTCATGGTTGTCTCAAAAGTGCTTTTTCAAAAGGCAACTGGACTACGTTACTTTTTTTTTCTTGAGGAAGATATTTCGCTTCTCACCCAAGAAACTTATTCAGTTCTGACTGGATGGTAAATGGATTACTTTTACTTTTCAAAGAATTAATTTTCAAAGGAGCTCACAAATGACTCCAGAATGGAAATGAATGTTTTTGCAAAGGGTAAGGGATGCAAGAATATTTCTCTTTGTAGCCTGCATTAGACTGGCCAAATTCACACAACATGCTATACTAGGCTAAAATGAGGTTGGATAATATTGTAGTTCAATACTATAGGAAACACTGCCATTGTCTCAGCATGTTGAGTGAGATTTGTCATCCCATTACAACATAATGGTTTATGGGGATGGTATACAAATGGCATACAAATACTAGGCTAATGTGCAGTTAATCTAGGTTTACGTCTGTAAGATGAACTTTAGAGAATGAAATGAAACATGGAATTATTGTTGCTTTGTATTGAAGCAATGGAAATAAGTTTCAGTGCCCGAAGACAATCAGAGAAAGGAACCCTTTGTTCAAAGATTTCCTGCTTCTTCTTCACAGACAGATGGAGAGTACAGGAGACCGAAAGATAAACAGAATAAGACCACTTATTTCAAGCATGTATATTTCTTCCAATGAATAAGAAGAAAAGAACACCTTTTCCAGTGACAAAATTTTCAAAGAACTCATCCCAGGTTTCCTGCTCAGGACTTATCTTTATGCCTTTGGCAAAATGGAAGAAAGATACAGCTGTGTCCTTTGGGTTCCGAAACAAAACCAGCATCTTTAAACAAAAAAGAATATTTTGGCATGTAAATGTAAAATCTAGAAGAGCAGAGGCAGAAGAGTAAAAACATTCCGATTTTAAAAAATTAAAGTATGAACATTCAAATGTATTTGGAAATGAACTGAATGGGGATTAGAGATAAAATTATTAGAAATTGGGATCATTTAAAATCTGGAAATGATAAAGATTAAACGTTAAACTTAAATATCAATGGGAAATTAAAGTTAAGAAAAACTTACTAGGTTATTGTCTAAAAGCCCAAATTAATTAAGATATGTATAGACTGAAGATTACTGATGAATATTAGAAAGGTACTTTTTGTTTGATTGATAGAATAAGAACTGTATTGGTTCAAACATGACAGTAGATATTATGGGGGAAAGAGAGGGAATTAGTTGTTGTAATACTTTGAGATTTGTACTGATGATATTCAAATGTAATGGAATTACTGTGCTCAGCCGCCACGTTACTTTTCAAATATAAAATTAATTTTATAGATGGCACCTTGATCCAAAGAAAATGTCCATTATGTACCCTAATCTGCAGCCGAAATGCTGGAGATGTGGACATTTGGATGCTACTTATTATCATACTTGGTGGACGTGTAAGCATATAAAAGCTTTTTGGATTAAGATATGGTGGAATATCCAAAGAATTTTTAAACGGAGGGTAAAATTTACTCCGCAATTATTTTTACTAGGTATTGTTACTGATTGTGATACTAAGGAGGTTATATTGATGTTAAATTTGATTACAGCCGCTAGGCTGTTAATAGGGAAATATTGGAAGAAGGAATCCTTGCCTACTTTGCAAGAGTGGTTTCATAAAGTTTCGTATTTGGCAGAAATGGCAAAGATTTCGGCTTTTTTAAAGGAGCAATCTCAAGAGAAATTTTTTGCAGTATGGGAAAAATGGATAAATTTCATACAATATAATTTGGATATGGAAAAATATCATTTAGCTTTTTTATAACTTGTAATGATTGTTTTTTCCTTCTTTCTTTCTTCCTTTTTTTTTTTTACGTATTATTACTTATATATTTTTTATATATATATATGTTTTATTTTTCGTCTACTTTTTTCTTTTTTCTCTCTCTCTCTCTTTTCTTTTTCCTTTTTTTTCTCTCTTTCTTAGTACATATTATTCATTTTAAAGCTTATGTTATGCATATTATTATTATACATATTATTATATATATTATTATTATGATCTTTATTATTTTTGTTAATTATCTTATAAATTGTAAACGTTATTTTTTAAAATTTGTTAAATAATCCTATATTCAGTTCTGGGAAGTCGGGGGGGGAGGGTGGGGTGGTTTGGGAGGGGGGGGATGTTTATTTGTAAAATTTTTGAAAAATTTCAATAAAAAAAAAAATAATAATTTAAAAAGCCTTGGAATAAAAAAAATAGAAATAAAATTATCAAATTAGAGAATAGTAATTTTTTTAAATAAAGTTCCTTCCCAAGACAGAATAGCAGAATAACACAGTTGGAAGGGAACTTAAAGGTCTTCTATTCCAGTCCTCTGCTCACGCAGGACACCCCGTACCTTCTGAACAAATGGTTGTCCAACCTCTTCTATTTCCATTTCCCAAGATCCTAAGTAAAGTATTGTAAGCAGCAAAGCTAAGAATATTTAATACAAGATATTTAACAATGGTTCAGTCTGAATAATTAAGTGAAGATACGACTGATTTGATGAACTTGCCTGATACAATACTAAAAAATGAAATCAAGTTGCAACAATTTCAGACTTTGAGCTGCAATGTTGCACCTTTCCTGCTTTCTTGAAAACCAGAAAAAGAAATGATTCAATTTTTATTTTGCATAAAACACAGTTTCTTATATCTGTGCTCCACGCCAGTTCAGAACCTGAGAAGTTGTTATGATCTTGGGCTTGCTGTCCTATTTTACTATGTAAATTTATTCGGCAACACTTCATTGATAGATGATACATATATAGCAATGATATGGAAAATCAAAATTGAGAATCAAGGTACTTACTTTTGCCTTTTGTTCAAAAATAGACTTGGGCAAATTTTGAGGTCTGAGGTGTGTTTTTATAATTCTTCTGGAAGGCATTTTCTCCATCCTCTTTAATGATATTAAAATAAAAGGAAGTTAATACCATTTATGCAAAAGTATAATTTCATCATCATAATAATAATATTAGTCATTGTCTATCCACTGCAGAATGATGACTTCTTTCTCATGTTTCCAACCTATACAGTCCTGAGCTTTCTTTTACCAATTGAGTCCACAATACTTGCTAATGTCGTCAATCCATCTTGTTTTAGGTCTCTTTCATGGATACTTTTTATCAAGTGGAAGTATAAATTAGGGATATCAAAGTTCATCTCTATAAAAAATCTGAGTCCAAGTGATCTTTGTCATCATAAACTCTGTGGTGGAATCTCCAGTTAGACTGGAAGGAGGTATTAAATGGGGACTGAGTTTGGAGTTATTGCGCTACAGCAGCAGTTCTCAACCTGTAGGTCACAACCCTTTTGGGGATTGAACAACTCTTTCACAGAGGTCACCTAAGACCATATTTCCAATGGTCTTAGGAACCAAGACACCGCTCTTCTATCCAGCCACTGCCACCCTCCTCCTCCTCCTCTGCCGGCTCCTCTGCCTCCAGGGCGTCCTTCTCCTCTGACAGTGCCTGCTCCTGCCATTCCTCCTTCCAGCTGCTGGCCAGGAGCTGGGCTGACTCCCAGCTCATTCCCAGGAGCTGGGCCAACACGCGGAGGCTGGGCCAACTCCCAGCTGACGTATGCACGCCAGGCTGACTCTCAGTTGGCTGTCGGGAGCCGGGTGGTATGTAGTGGCCCCGCCAGTTCCCCACCGATGTCCGGATGCTGACTGTCGGGAGTCGGGCAGTGCTCATGGGGGCCATGTGGACATCGGCCGGCTGCTGGCTGCATCCTCCACATCTCCTGGCTCATGGCAAGCTCAGGGGCTTGACACGTGCCCCCGATGCTGCCCCGGGCTGGCTCACTGCATGGGCGGCCAGTCTGAGCTGAGCCGGGTCTGGGCCACTGCTGGCATTGCCACTGGGCTGCTCCGCCGCTGCCGCCGCTGCTGGCTAAGCTGAACTGCGGCGCCAAGCTGGTTCTCATGCCTCCTGGTTGCCCAGCTGTGCTCCACCCCTGGCCACCCTCCGCGCTGCACCGGAGCTTCTCCCGCACCTCCCAGCCTGCCTCCCTCACCGTTGGAGGCTGCCTCGGCCCTCTGGCACTTGGCGCTTGGTGCAGCCCTGAGGCTGGCAGGCAGGAGCAACTCCTTCCTGGCTCACCAGGCTCTGGGCCTCAGAAGCGGCCAGATGGAGGGGAAGAGGGTGATGCCCGCATGTGCATCGGAGGCCAGCCGCACAGGCCGGGAGGGGAGAAGCAGCATATTCTGAGCAGGAGCTGGCACTCTGGCTGTGCCCCTCTCATGTGTGATGAGTCAGGGAAGGGTCGTGGCGGTGAAGGGCTGCATGGCGTGGAAAGGGGTTCCAATGATCCCACCGCTGAGATGGCACTCAGGAGGCTAGGGGTCGGGCAGGTCCTGGGGGGCATCTGGGAGAGGGCAAGAGGTGCTGGGATGAGGAAGGAGGGCTAGAGACTACCATCCCCAGCAGCCCTAAAAAGCACTGTGGAAGAGTGGGGAATGCTGGGAGTTGCAGTTCATCACCATCTGGGAAAACATGACTCTCCAAAGATCAATCCATCCTTCCTTCCTTCCTTCCTTCCATCTCCTTCTCTTCCCCTTCAATCTCTCCTTCCTTCCTTCCTTCCTTCTTTCCTTCCTTCATTTCCCCTTCAATCTCCTTCCTTCTCCATCTCCTACCTTTCCCCTTCAATCTTCCTTCCTTCCTTCCATCTCCATCTCCATCCCTTCCCCTTCAACCTCTCTGTCCTTCCTTCCTTCCTTCCTTCCCCCTTCAATCTCCTTCCTTCTCCATCTCCTTCCTTTCCCCTTCAATCTTCCTTCCTTCCTTGCATCTCCATCTCCATTGCTTCCCCTTCAATCTCTCTCCTTCCTTCCTTCCTTCTTTCCTTCCTTCCTTCCTTCCCCTTTCAATCTTCCTTCCTTCCTTCCTCCATCTCCATCCCTTCCCCTTCAATATCTCTGCCTTCCTTCCTTCCTTCCTTCCTTCCTTCCTTCCTTCCTTCCTTCCTTCCCCTTCAATCTCCTTCCTTTCCCCTTCAATCTTCCTTCCTTCCTTCCTTCCCCTTTCAATCTTCCTTCCTTCCTTCCTCCATCTCCATCCCTTCCCCTTCAATCTCTTTCTCCTTCCTTCCTTCCTTCCTTCCTTCCTTCCTTCCTTCCTTCCTTCCTTCCTTCCTTCCCTCTTCAATCTCCTTCCTTCTCCATCTCCATCCCTTCCCCTCCAATCTCTTTCTCCTTCCTTCCTTCCTTCCTTTCCCCTTCAATCTCCTTCCTTCTCCATCTCCTTCCTTTCCCCTTCAATCTTCCTTCCTTCCCCTTCCCTCCCTCCCAACATTTTTGAGCAAGGAAGAGTAAGCTTCTCCAGTGAGCATTGCTATATTGTTTTTGTGATTAATCACTATGCTTTAATTATGTTCCATTCATAACAGTGAAAATACACCCTGCATATCAGATATTTACATTATGATTCAAAACAGTAGCAAAATTACAGTTATGAAGTAGCAACAAAAATAATTTTATGGTTGGGGGTGACCACAACATGAGGAACTGTATTAAAGGGTCACGGCATTAGGAAGGTTGAGAACCATTGCGCTATAGGAAGCAGCACAGGTCTGACCTTCCCCAGAATCCTTGAAGCCTTATCTTGCTGTTCCCAAGGGAAAGCATACAGCATAGTGAGTTTCTTTCTTTTCTTTTCTTTTTTTTTTTTTTTGGAAGCAGTGCCCTTTAGTCAGTTATGCAGTCACACCATGAACCCTCAAGGATGGAGAGCGGCCTTTCTCTGTCCCCCCCCCCCCCGTTCTTCCCCCCTCCAAGGCAGGAGTCTCAGCTGCCACTATGGCCCTGGCAGGCCTGGCCAGAGGCTTTGCTCAGGCCTGCTTGAGAGTCAGTGGCCAGACAGGGCCCAGAACCAAAGCCCCAGTCAGGCTGTTTCCGCCAGAGAAAGTTGCACCACCACCCCTCAGCCCACCCTGGGGAGGAGGGAGAGCCAAGGACAGCCACAGGCTTCCTGTCCCTGAGTCCCATTTTGCCTGACCCTACCTAAATATGTGATTGTTTCATATAAATCATACTGATTGATGTGAGGAAAGTTACTGTGGAATCCACAGTGCAGTGTAAATATGAAAGAATTGATCAGCTAAACACTGATTGTCATTCTGTGACATGATTTTCCCAATACATGTGCTGTATTTGGAGAGTGATAAATTCCTCTGTAAAAGTATTGGGGCAGAGCAGATATAGCGTTTTTTGGACATATACAGAGATCTGATGCTAAGAGTTTAAAGGATGTTGAAAACAAGCTGGTGAGGGAAGCAGAAAGGGGATTAGAGTTGAAGTTTTGGAATGGGAGGGAGGGGAATATGGCTGGCAAATTAAACTGCATTTAGTTAATTTGAATGTTAAAAGTTTTCAAGTTCATGGTGGACCAAAGACATTACACCACTTCTGGTGTAATGGAAAGATCCCAGAAAAGAGAGAATTGTGCTTTTAAGATTTGGTCTTAACCAATTGAGGATTACCGTATATGCCAGCGTATAAGATGACTCCCAGAAGCGCTAAACTCGGCGCCAAAGATGAGGGTCATCTTATACGCTGAGTCGTCTTATACACTGGAAATACTGATAGTTTCCGGCGTATAAGACGACGTTCTAGGAATGCGGCTCGGTGATAAAGACGGGGGTCATCTTATATGCCAGGTCGCCTAATACACCGGCATATACGGTATAGAAGACTCAAGAAGGTAATTATTTGGCTAGCCACTAGAGATTGCTATCTAAGCATAATTAACAAAAAAGGTAAATGGTTTCCCTGTCAGTCATGTATGTCTCATCTCCATTTCTTGGCCAAGGGAGCCAATGGTACCCAAAGACAATTTCCATGATCATGTGGCAAGCATGGCTAAATGCCAAAGGCACACAGATTGCTGTTACTTTCCCACTGAAGTCGTACCTATTAATCTACTTGCATTTGCATGCTTTAGAACTGCTAGGTGGGCAGGGGTTGGGGCAACTAATGGGAGTTCACCCCATTACATGGAGGTCATGTCTTGAACTCAGGTCAACAACTCTCCAGCTAACAAGCTCAGCATCTTTAACCACTGAGCCATTGCATCTCCTGACTAATTAACACATTTGGTTAACACAGTTGGTTAATAATTTGGGAAATTATATGGCTTACATATTACATTTTAGAACAGACACAATGACATGCATACATACACAATGACACAAGATAATATTCTTGCAGGCAGGGAGATAGGTGTGCACAGAATGGTAGATCAATAAAGCTATATATCAATTTGTTCTATTCCAACCTTTTCTGAAGAGCCCTGGGGTGCAGTGGTTAGAATGCAGTATTGCAGGCAAAATCTGCCCACAGCCTGGAGTTTGTTCCTAACAGGGCTCAAGGTTGACTCAGACTTCCATTCTTCTGAGGTTGGTAAAATGAGGAGCCAAATTGTTGGGAGTAATATGCTGACACCATAAACTTCCCAGAGAGTGCTGTAAAGCATTATGGGGCAGTATATAAGTCTAAATAAATATTCTTCAGGAGTCTTTGTAGGCAGATGAAGAAGGGAGAAGAAAATACATTGCCACATGCTGCTTACATTATTATTTTTGCATTGTGGAAACAGAAACCAATGCTACTCTTCTCTTTTAACAAATCTGATTTATGAGACCTACCCAGTTTATCTGGTTAGGTCCTGAAAGCTCCCCTCACAAACACATCTTGCTAAAGGCAAGAGTGGACTTGGAAGGGAAGCAAAAGTCAATACTGTTCTTTAGTTTTTGCTTCCTGGATCATTGCAACTGGTTTAAGACATGCTGCCTTTGAGTCTGGAGTTGGTTAAAAGACATCAAATCATTGAGACACTTTAGAAGAAACTATACACAGATGGAAAGCCAACATTTTAAATGGCTTAAGATACCGGAGGACCTGGACAGACTTGAACACTGGGCACTATCTAACAAAATGAAATTCAATGATGAAAAAAGTAAGGTTCTACATTTAGGCCAAAAAAACCAAATGTACAGGTATAGTATAGGGGGTACCTTGCTCAATAGTAGTAACTGTGAGAGGGATCTCGGAGTCCTAGTGGACAATCACTTAAATATGAGCCAGCAGTTGCTGCAGCTGCCAAAAAAGCCAACACAGTGCTGGGCTGCATTAACAGAGGGATAGAATCAAGATCATGTAAAGTAATAATAATGTGCTGGCTGAGGAATTCTGGGAGTCGATCACGTGAAGTATTAATACCACTTTACAATGCCTTAGTAAGGCCACACTTGGAATACTGCATCCAGTTTTGGTCAACACGATGTAAAAAAGATGCTGAGACTCTAGAAAGAATACAGAGAAGAACAACAAAGATGATTAGAGTACTGGAGGCTAAAGCATATAAGGAACGGTTGCTGAAATTGGGTACGTCTATTTTAACAAAGAGAAGGACGAGGGGGGACATGATAGCAGTGTTCCAATATCTCAGGGGCTGCCACAAAGAAGAGGGAGTCAAGCTATTTTCCAAGGCGCCTGAAAGCATAACAAGAAGCAACGGGTGGAAACTAATCAAGGATAGAAGCAACCTAGAACTAAGGAGAAACTTCCTGACAGTTAGAACCATTAACCAATGAAACAACCTGCCTCTAGAAGCGGTGAATGCTCCAACACTGGAAGTTTTTAAGAAGAGACTGGACAGCCATTTGTCCAAAATGGTGTAGGGTTTCCTGCCTGAGCAGGGGGTGGACTAGATGACCTCCAAGATCCCTTCCAAATTTATTTATTTATTTATTTTATTATTATTATTATTATTATTACTACTATTATTATTAAATATGCTTTTTGTCATGCAAACAGTGGCATCTCATTTCAACTAATAGAAATAAATCACTGAAAACAGTTCCAGGCCAAATCTCCCTTGTTAAATTGTGTCCAATATGTTCAATATAGCATTCTAGAATTTTTCGGTTGACATGGAAATCTTGGTTGGATACAATGGTCCCTTAATTCATTCCAGAGAAATGGATATGGTTTCCATCAGTGTAATAAGGATATAGATTGAGGAAATTCTTCAGATGTGGAATGGACACTTGGATTTAAGTTATATGACTGTTATTGATAAAATGCATTTTTTTCTATAATAGTCTATGAAAAGGGGCATGAGTTGGACTAGGTATTCATGATAAGATACAGAGCAACATGAAATATTTTAAAATAAGGACAAGCTGAAAATCTCAGACAATCTTCAATTCAAGTCCTTTTTTAAAAAATTTGTTTGTCTCGGCAATGTGTGGGTGTTTACCACTGATATTTGGTGGCATATTATCAAAACTCAAAATGTAATTTCACTCCATATTCAATGGAAATAACACTAAATAAGGCTGGCTAAGCTTTGGAATAGAATTAATTCACCTAAAAAACAAACCAGAAAAACTAAAAATGTTGTCTCTGCTGACTTGGGTCTTGATGTCAGTGGTGGCTTCCTTGTGTGTTCTTTTACCATTTCCCAACAATACATACACATTTAGATGAGTGTTACAAGGATGCCAGCCCCTAGTTTAGTTTATTTCTTATAGTTTAATGTTATGATATTTAAGGGCTTTGTTTCTAGTAGAGCGCCAATGATATACAATAAATCTTTACTGTGAGCTGAACACAGAGACCTCACACAAACATCCCTATTTTTCTCTTGCACCCATCCAGCTCTTTTCTTTTCTAATGAATGAATTTCACCTTGTGAAGTCTCAAGGTGCTCTACTTTATAAAAATAGCACTCCTGTTTACAAACCCTTCTCAGCTTGTAAATCTTTTATACAACTTTCTTGCCACTTGATGGAAGCTACAGAGTATTTTTCTGATTTCTAACCTCAAATTTTTCTGGATCTCCAAATTCGAGATAAGGAAATAGTGATAATTCTTGCAGTATTTGCTGCCTTCGCTTCTGTTCATCTTCATCATATTTTCCAGAGGCAATTTCCAGCTGTGTTAAAATCTCCCCAACCCAGTGGGAACCTGAAGAAATGCAGAAATAGTTGTCACTTGATATATAAGAATACATATCTTGACCCAAGGCCATTTCAACCATATCAAAGTTGAAAACATAAACATAGAAACAAGAAAAGAATAAACATTGTGCATGAATGTTCAAAAAGAATGAGAGGAAGGTGCAGTTCTGATGTCTGTTGCAAACATAGTAACTTTAAGCATGTAGAGTTGTTGAGTAAGAATTTAATATCGAACTAGACGTTAGACATGGTTACTGAAAATGGCAAATATCAACTGTCTTCTTAAAACAAGAATATGTATAGAAACATAAAAAACTGATAGAGCTGTATTATAATCAACTTTATATGAAATATTCACAATCTCAAAATCAAAGTCTTTGCAACCTTGAATAGAGAAATCTGTCCAGTTTGACTAGATATGTTTTATATGTAATTCTTTTGGGATATATCCCCAGTATATATTTTTTTCTATCCTGCTTTACGGAGGAGACAGTTGGTCTCTGACAGAAGGCCACCTGAAGAGACTAGAAGCATTTGAAATGTGAATTTACAGGCGGCTGTTATGTATAAGCTGGGTTGACAAGATCAGAAATGAGGAGGTGATAAGCTGCCTGGGAAAGCCAAGGGAAATCATCAAAACAATTAAAAAACGAAAATTAGAATATTTTGGACATGTGATGCGACACCCAGAAGAATACGGCATACTCCATTTAATCCTCCAGAGAAAGATTGAAGACAAACGAGGTCCAGGCAGAAGAAAAACATTGTGGCTTCAAAATCTAAGGGATTGGTTTGGACAAAACTCAGCCACACTTTTTCGTGCAGCTGCTGATAAAAACAGGATCGCCAACATGACGCCAATGTCAGATAATGGATATGGCACAAGAAGAAGAAGATACAGAATTTATCAATATACAATGTTTTGGCTTGCCAAGAACTTCATAAAGTCAGTTTCAATATTACACAAACAATAAGGAAATGAATTTTACAACTTTTGTGTATGTATTTTCATACATTGCATGGATTGATTTGGAAAATATGTACTTGACATTTTCAAGTTACAGTATTGAAGTTTTCATATTGTTGATTATTTTAAGCAAAAATGCCAAATTCATTGTATGACTTCTATATTTCTGGAAACACAGAGAAGGTCAAGAATATTCATCTTAAACATAGTAATTAGTGAAGGACTTCACAAGGAGAAATAATTTAACCTATCATAATAAAATGTCTACTGCTCTGGAATCTGCTAGTTTTTATTTAACAGGAATTCTGTTAGAAACACTAAAGAAACTATCAAACATGCATACAATTTAGCCAGGATGGTATACGTTCTTCTGCCTAGGAAGAGGGCTGGACTAGAAGACCTTCAAGGTCCCTTCCAGCAGTATGATTCTATATTCTATGTGTTCAGAGACAATAGCATTCCTCGCAAAACTGTAATGCTTACCTGTTTTGGGGTATGACACTAATATGACATCATCTTGCCAAGTTCTAAAAGTATGAACCCTTTTCAGAGTTTCCAGGCTGGTGATCATAGTAGGATATAATACTCCATCATACATAAACATCCGTTCTGAAGGAGCAGTCTTTTCATTTCCTTCCACCTTCTCATCTAGAAATTTGTTGAAGGTTTTTGGATCCATGGTTGTGCTGTTCTAAGACCACAGATGGGTAACCTAGAGATTCAGTTGTCTCTGTAAGTGAAGCTAATACATTTATAGAGAAATCATCTGTCACATGACAAAGAACACACTGAGGGTGCGTTTCTTGTTACTAATTAACTGTCAAGAAATAAATCTATGAACAAAGTTTATTCAGCCCTTCCTCCCCCCCAAAAAAAAAATTCCAGTGAAGTTGTGGCCAACTTGGATTGAATCAATAACCTGTTAGAGAAAAAGATATTCTTAAGGGGATCACTGACCTGAGGCAATCTTCTCTGGAAATGGAGTTAGAGTTCTTGAGTTCATGAAGCACTTGCTGGACAGCATGCTAGAAATCTTAGAGCCACACTTTCACAGAGCAAAAAGTGTGGCAGTAATTAGCCATTACAAAGCTAGGATATTCTGCTAGCAATTTTAACCCTCATTTTTCCTATCTTTTTCTCTTAGTTCAGTTGCAACTTTATTGTCATCACAAACCTTGCTACCAAGTTGACTCAAGACTTGGCAAGTTAATACTGGATGCTTAACGTGACATTGAAAGGCTTGCAGAAATCATATAAATTATATAACTGACTAATGATTATATGTAATGTAATAATAGTATAATTGTTATTACATATCCTATCTGATCTGGAAGAATGATTATGCTTCAGTTAGTGCCGGCTAGAAAGAGTTGGTTGATGGGGCCTCAAGGGAGAAGTCATTTTTGCTGTGGCACCTTTCATCAAGCCCTGAAAACTTAGATTTGTGGCATGTAATTTACATTAGGAATAAAGGGATGTCAAGATGGCAGCTAAGTCAAACATGTGAAAAAGGGGCAGGGCTTCAGTCACATGTTATGACCACCACTTGATATGTTTGACACTCACGCAACCTTTGAATGTGTTGAATTTATGCCTTATGATATACCCTTCCATTAATTCAGTGATAGGAGGAATTATCATCTTTTTTTTTTAGTGTCTTGGAATTTTTTAAAAAAAAAAATATTGAATTGTTTTTACAATAGTGGTCATTGAAATTTGTATGTACTTTGTTGCCTGCTTCTTCCTTTCCTGCATCCATTAACAGCAGCCTGGATTTGCATTATTTATTTCCTGATTCCGGAAATCAGCTCCCATCTATCCCCTTCAAATAAATGATCACTGTTGTCTGTGGATTACATGACTTGTCTAATATGTTTATGGTGATATATGAAAAGCACTTTGTCATCAATTCTATAGTATCACTAGCATATGATTTTGAAAATAAAAAATGGAAAAATACGATTGAAAAACTAGTCCTTTATGACACCAAAGGGGTTATTTCAGTGGTGGGATTCAGCAAGTTCGCAGCACTTCAGCAGAACCAGCAGATAATTTTTTGTTGCCCAGGCCGAGAATGGACTTCTGGAAGCAGCATCCATACAGAGAACCAGTTGTTCACATATTTGAATCCCACCACTGGGTTATTTCATATATACGTGGGCCCATGTACATATTTTTGCTCTATTTTCTTTTCACAGATATTGAGTAAGTTAATCCTTTCCACCCCATTTCAAATTGTCTATATTCTTCTTTGTCTGATCATTATGGAGGATTGATCCATCTCTCCCTGGCTGAAGGTTTGTGCTAACAACATTTTCTGTCTGCCTTCCCTCTCCTCCTTCCTTGACACTCACATTATTAAAATATTAAAATGCCCTGAGATTCCCAATACAGCAAATGTTTGGGAAAGTAAAACAGGCCCCTTTCTTGCAAAAGTTGAAATATACAACTCTTTGTCCATGACATTACCAGCTTCACCCAGTTACAAAGGTGCTGCAGGAAGTAAAAAATTAGAAGAAAAAAAAATCCCTTTTCCCCTCTGTTGTGGGAATTCTTCCCTTTGGTTCATTTCTTGTTCAGGTCAAAAACTAGAGGCTATAATTCAAAGTTCAAAAGTTTATTAGGCACATAAGGCAATAGTGTTGGGTGCGGCTGGCCCCCTTCCAAGTGTGTGAAACACTCTTTATAGATAGGTGCGGACAGCTTGGGAGCAAATTTGGTATAATGGTTAAGGCAGCAGGCTAAAAACTGGGAGACTGTGAGTTCCAATTTTGTCTTGGGGATGAAACCAATTGGGTGACCTTGGGCTAGCCATGTTTTCTCAGCTTTAAGTAGGAGATAATGGCAAACCACTTCTGAAAAACCTTGCCAGAAAACTGTGAGAATTTGTCCAAGCAGTCTCTGAGAATCAGACACAATTGGAGAAAAACAAAAGCAAAAAATAACTATTCTGGACAGATCTAGCCCTAAATTTGTCATGTTTATCTTTCCTAATAAAGTTCAGCAAACGTGGGCTGAGTAATTTTTAACAATTCTGCATATCTTCAGATTTCTCTCTACAAACCTCCAAAGCTGGTCCAAAGGGATAATGACATCACTGTATTAAAATGAAACAGCACTTGGACTGAGACACCACCCCATCCTGCCTCACCACATGTCCTCATTAAGGACAACCAGTTTTATCATCATACAGAATCATGGCTTCAAACCTCACCGAAATGGATCCAGATAATCTCTTTCCATTAGCTTCCTCTGGAGGTGAAGCCTACCCACCCTCCTCATAACTCCCCCCCCCAAAAAAGATTGGAGATTAAATGGGAATTGTCCAAAATCATTGGGTCCAGCAATTACCTTAAGAAGAAGGCAGAACACCCTTCAAGGTGTGAACTACAGACATCACCATATGGGTTCAACCACCCAGGTCTGTTCTTCACAGAGTGGAGAATTCAGACAGAGCTGGGAGGCCTCTGTTAAATCTGCTGGCTAGTTAAGTGCTTCAGAGCTACATCTTTCCCTCATATTTTTAAATTGCTACATGAACTATATGATGAGGTAATCTAGACATTTAAGCTAAAATGGACAATACCTCTTATCTGTTAATTCTCCCTTAAGGGAATACTACTAAAATGTTCCCCTGACATTTAAACAGGTATCTGAGAAACCTGAGGAGGAAAACTCAAAACTGAATATTAAAAATGAAATATGGAAATCATATCCTGATCAGGATAATAATACCAGCTGACTGCGTTCCCCCAACTACAATGTTTTTATTTTATTTTATTTTAAAGAACTTAGACTTTTTCTTTGGCAACAGTTTTTATTGCAGGTTTATCCAGAGCAGTTGATGGGGAAAGCCTTGTTGTATTCAATTAATTTCACTGCAATTATATTTAATGCACTTGAAATAAAAGAATAAAGCCATTGGTATTATAAGAGGATGTTTAAGGCTGTGTGAAAATATGAAGTGGAAGTTATAGATGTTATCAAAGTAATAATGAACAATTCTTTGTGGATCAAAGCTTTAAAATGCTGAAACTAGCCCTGGAGAATATAAGGATGGAATCTGAGTTAATGAATGCACTGGAAATAAAATGAAATATCTTTATGAACAGTCAATTAAAAACATCTCTGTAGGTCACAAATATAACAAACAAAAGCGGCTATTTTTTTAATGTGGAAATTGAGGTTTTGCTAAACATTTGGAAGAAGTGGAAATGTTTACTGTGTTTACCATGGTTACAGGCAACTTGAATCAGATAAGGCACGAATGTCAAACTCGCCGTGTCATGTGACTTGTCATGAAGTATCACGAATTTTTTCACATTGCCGGAGCTGGGGTAGGTGTGGCTTCCATATGATGCAACTGGCCCGCAGTCCGGCAGTTTGACACTCCTGAGATAGGGTCTTCAAAGCAACCTTCCAAGGAATGCAGCTGCTTTAATCATTTAGAGCAGGGGTCCTCAAACTTGGCCACTTTAAGACTTGTGGACTTTAACTTCCAGAATTCCCCAGCCAGCCATGGCTGGCTGGGGAATTCTGGGAGTTGAAGTCCACAAGTCTTAAAGTGGCCAAGTTTGAGGACCCCTGATTTAGAGGCCTGTGCTTCAATCATGCCAGCATGTCTGGTGAAGCATCTCTTTTGAACACTTTCTATAGCCATAGCAAAAATATGTAGTCAAGAATTGCTTCTCCAGACTTCACTATGCCAAAGATACAGCTCATGTACTGTCAATTGTTTGCATAAGAAATGAAAAATGATTAACCCACATTTTGATAAGCAGCAGGAAGAAAGACTGGTTGGACAAGTTAGCTCTTCCTAGTTGCTTTCCAAAGTGGTGAGCTGCGTCTTTGCTTTGAACAAACTGTGAAATAAAAAATCTCCCCACTCTGATTAGGCACTATTTTCCTGCAGCTGCCTTAAATAGGTACCCAATACCTGTTAGACCCTTAACAATGAAGTTAATCCTCACTCATTTATAATCTTCCCTTGCTGATGCCTAAACTATACAACTATTTCCTGAATTGCCTACCCAAAAGCAGATTAAACAACTGGGAGGTATATGGGGGAGGGGGAGAGAAAGAGAAGGAGATTGAAAACTATAACCTGCTCAGTGAGTCGTGTGCCATGACATAGTTTCCTTGACACTAGTTGTGCTATTGTGGCAGATTGAGGGGGGGGGTAATCACTCTAGACCAGAGTTACCCAACCTTTCCAGCTTTGCAGACTGGTGGAGGGGAGGGGATGGTTCTGCACAAGGTGCCAGCAAGCCTGCGTACGCAGCTCCATTTGTGTGAGTGGCATGCACATGCACCCGGCTCTCATACAAATGGAGAGTGCGTGCACTCTCCTGCCCGCATGCTCGCCCATTTCCATGGCCTGGTTGCAAACAGCCCAGAGGTTGGGGGTCCCTGCTCTAGACATAATAAATTCCTCCTTTGGTATCTAAGCTATGATTGCTTTAGCCAACACTAAGGGAGCTATGAGCAGAAGATCACTGAAGGAAAAGTCATGGAAAAAAAGGGTGACAAAGCAACTCAAGGATAGATTTTATGGCTGCAAGATTTTGAATTTATTTTTCATTTATTTATCTATTTAAGAAATTTATTTGCCACCCATCTCATATCCAATGACTCTGAATGTGTATAGCAGAGTTCATTGAACCTTGTGGCCCCCTGGGCACTATTCCAGCAGGTCTGGAAAAGGTGCTATCCCATAGTTAAAAGAAGGGGGTTGTTAGTAGGTTGCAGG